ATATATATATATATATATATGATTTGTCTGTGTGAGAGTGGGCACACGCATACCATGGCATACATGTGGAGGTCGGAGGACAACTTTCTGGGGCTGGTATTCTCCGTCCACCTTATTGAGGCACGGTTTCTTTTGTTTCTGCCTACTCTGGGCTAGCCAGCCTATGAGTTTATGGGTCACTCTCCTGCTGGGTTGTGGTGGGCACCACCACTTCCAGCTTTTTATGTGAGTTTAGGGATCAAACTCTCACTGAGCTTGGACAGCAAGCTGAGTACCTACTCAGCCATCTTGCCACCCCTTTCCCTCTCCATTTCTGCATAAAGTACCCACTGAGGTGAGAAAAGACATCTTGTATCCACAGTGGGAATCCACTCAGGGCACCTTCTATGTGTGCATGAAGCATCCTTCCAGTATCTTCTCCATCTAAAGGGAGTCCAAGCCACACAGAATAAGAAGTTCCTTGTTTGGGCATCGTTTTGCAAGCAAAGAAACTAAGGCCCAGGAGGATGTCCCCAGCCATGGTTGCACAACTGAGTAGTTTCTGTAGGGACTAGAACCCCAACTTCAGGTTTGGAAGGCTGGCAGAGGGAAGTAGCAATTCCTGGATGAGATCGGGATGAGGCAGCCCCAAGCTGTCAAAGGTCAGGCATGAGCTGTGCCTTTCCTGAGACAAACAGGGCAAAGGGGGCTCTGACTCGCCCAAGGCCACACAGCCTGGAATGGGCCTCTTACCTCCCACACAGCTAAGGGACAGCATCAGCTTGGTTGGTGGTGGGCAGGGATGAGAGCAGCAAGATACCCTCAAAGAAGAGCGAGGGTTTTGCTTTGAGACCCCCTCCACCACAAACACTCAGCTCTGGAGCACCTTGGGGAGAGTAGGGGAGGAAGCTTGGAGCACTTAGGGGTAACTTCGGAACTGAGAGGGGTCCTAGGGCTGCAGAGGGCCTCAAGACCCTTGAAGGTGCTCCAGCACAACATAGAGGGAGGAGCCCAACCTTCCACCTCCCTCCCCCTTCACCAGGCACCCAAGGAGGAGGCGGTGTCCCTGGCTCACTGCCCAAGGTGCAGCAGCAAGGCAAGGCGGGGCTGGACCAGCAGGGGCGGGCAGGCGCCCTGCCTGGTGTTATAAGAGGCGGCCCGGGCAGCTCAGCAATGAGCTCCCAGCTCGGCTTAGCAGCAGAACGCTGGCTACAGGCGCTCCCTGCTCCCTTGATCCCACCGTACACTCTGCCGCTGCTATGGTCTCCACACCCACTGCCTGGTGCTCCGTAGCTCTGGCCCTGCTGGTCGTCCTGCATGAAGGTGAGCCACCCTGCCTCACCTGCTGCTGCCACCCTGGGATCTATCCATCTGCGGCTCTCCCAGGGGCACTCTGCTACCAAAAGCTAACTGGGGCCATTGAGCTGGGAGCCCACAGCAGGAACTACTTAGGAAATGCAGGGCTGCAGGTGGGGCTGGTTGCTGGGGCTTCCCCAGGCTAGCCAGTAGCTCCTGAGCAGCCAGGGTGCCAACTTCCTCATTGTGCAAGAGGAGGAGCCTGGCGGGTCCCTTATCCTAGGCAGGCCAGGTGTCCTGACCTCCTCTCCACCTCTCTCTCTTGGATGCAGGAACGAACCAGGTAGCTGCCACCCTGGAGCAGCCAGCACCTGCACACAAGGGCCAAGGGGCCCATCTGAGGTTTCGTCGTTGCTCGTGCAACTCCTGGCTTGACAAGGAGTGTGTCTACTTCTGCCACCTGGACATCATCTGGGTGAACACTGCCGGGTGAGCACCACCACAACCCCAGGGGTCAAGGGTGGGCAGGGAACCTCTGCAACCATCCTACTCCCCCGTGGGCCTCCAGGTGGGACCCTGGGAGGATCAGTAATTCCCATTCAGCTCCCCTTGGGCACCACCAGAGCCAGGAAAAGGGCTGTATGTCCTGCAAACCCTCACAACAGCCTGCAGGAAAGTTCTGGCTCCACTTTCCAGAACAGGGGTACTGAGGTTCAGAGAGATGAGGTGAGTTCTCCCAAGATCACTTGGGAAGGAGCCAGCCATGGGTCCCAAATCTGTTCTTCCCAAGTCTATGGATGCCAGAGCAGCATACATTGACTTAGCCATGCTGCCTCTGCAAAGAATTAGCTTGTGCATGACAGCATCCATGCCCAAATCATGCCAGGCTCTGTGCCAAGCACTGCACATGCAGTACCATCCCCTGAGCCCCCAACCTCCCCAAGAAACAGGTACTGCTGCAGCCCCAGATGACAGATGAGAAGTCTGCCTGAGATACCCAGGTAGGAGCTGGGTGCTGGGTTCTGCCCGTGCCCGTGCTGCCTCCAGGCCTCCGCATACCTCAGATTGAAGTTTCTGTGTATGTTTGTATTTTTTCCTTCTCCAAATTGCATAAGGCAAGAGAAGCTGAGCACGTAAGCATGTGCATAGCTAATCCACATCCAAACGTTGGTTTGGGGTGGGAACCCTGCCAGTCCTTGCGTGCCGGGTCCACCCAGAGTCATTGCAACTCTAACCACACCACCTAAAATTAGCTCTGTCACCCAAAGGTTTTGAGTGGACTAGCCTCAGGCCCATCTTGTCCAGACTAGATCAGAAATCAAGCTAATTTTACACACACACACACACACACACACACACACACACACACACACTTTATTTATTATTTATTTATTTATTTATTTATTTGTCTTTTTGAGACAGGGTCTCCCTGTAGCCCCAGCTGTCCTGGAACTTACTGTGTAGACCAGGCTGGCCTTGAACTCACAGAGATCGGCCTGCCTCTGCCTCCTGAGTGCTGGGATTAAAGGCATGAGCCACCACGCCCGGCCCAGACACTATTTTAAAGGAAAAGCTAAAAGGCATATTTGTCACATTCCCCCAAGCAAATGATGACTAGCTGGGGGCAGCTTGACTGAGCTGGATGTTTCACTCCGGCAGCTGGACAGGTGTCCTTTCCTCCTGGCCTAGCTAAAGGCTTCTTTGAGCATAGGGTACCAGCCTGACTGATGGCCTGGGGTCCAGGACTGGAAGGGAAGAGTAGCTGGTAGCCATCTCCAGACTCAGGTGGAGACTGCCAACCCTATTTCTTACCTCCCTGCAGGAGCTCCCAGCAAAATCAGGGCCCAGCAGCCCTGAGAAGGCATGAGACTTGTAGGGCACCCTAGGCACTTGTAGAAGAGTCTATGGCTTTGGTGCCTGACTTAAGATGGGGGTCTGGTCACCTTTCCTGGAGGCATGACTGGCTAACCTCATGTATAGTGTAGACAGTTTCATCTCTGTTGGCCAGTGGTGTGACTTATCTAATCCTGTGTCTCTTTCTCTTTTCTCTCCCTCCCCCCCCACCCCCAATCGCTCTCTCTCCCCATGTACACCACTACCTTGCTGGCTTCCCGCCCACAGACAGACAGCTCCCTACGGCCTGGGAAACCCGCCAAGGCGCCGGCGCCGCTCCCTGCCAAGGCGCTGTGAGTGCTCCAGCGTCAGGGACTCTGCCTGTGCCACCTTCTGCTATCAAAGACCCTGGTAGGTGGGCTCCTGGCCTGCAGGGATGGCCACTAGCCTGGACCCACCCTAAAAGCAGGTTATCTAGGAGGCTGGCAGAGGAACAGAGGGTCAGTGGGGGCAAGCAGTGTCCTGGAGCCCATAAGTACAGTGGATCCATGGCAGAGTCCCTTTCTGCATGTACCAGTCACCCCTGAGTGCCTCCCTCTGTCCATCTCTGGGCCTTCTGAGAGCACTGGTCCCCACTCTTGGGCAGGAGAGGTGCTGCCCAGGTGACAGCCCAGGTGCAGAGAGGAGGGTCTTTGTGTCAGGCCCACAAAGGACCAGGCCCCACTGGGCTTTGGATTCTAACCTGAGGCTCAGGTACTCTGGAGATTATTTAAAAGAAAAATAACATCTGGAGTTTCGAGCCCATGACATGGTCCCAGGGTTGTCCTGGGGTGGGAGACTGATGCCAAGTCTCTTTGTTTTTCCTGTCATCTGTGAAGGGGGTGGGAGGATACATTCTTTCCCTCCTCTCCTTGGACCATTAAGAAAGCAAGGTTTGACTTCTGGGGCTCTCCAGTTCCTATGATAGTTTACGAGAAACTCCTCCTCTGGGGCTCCACCCCTGCCTCAGTTTCCCCTGAAGCTGCAGGTGGCCGGATTCTGGGAAGACCAGCCACCCTGCTGCCTCTTTTGGAGGCTCAGAACACATTCCCAGTAGCTCAGTTTTCCTTGGTCCCCACCCCGCCTGGGAGGGAAGGGTGCCAGGTGTGCAGCATGGAAATGGATCTGCTCCTGAGGTCAGGGGTGGGGGCTGGGCTAGGCCTGCAGCCAGGTGGCTTTGGGGCACTGGCCAGCCCCTCACTTGTTGCTTCTCTATTCATTCAGGTTTGAAGCTATGGCTACCACAAGCAGCCAGGCACCAGGAGCTGTGTTTCAGACAGGCAAGACGTGGGCCACTGAGGGAGACCTTCTCCACAGGCTGAGGTGAGAGCATCTGCGTGAATTAAGCCATTTCTGTATGCCTTATATGTTTGCCTTATTTTCCATGAGGGCAAGACTGGGTCTTTATTATCTATCCAAGGGACTGAGGCTCATAGAGGTGAAACCACTTGTTTAGTGCCACACAGCATCCGGGGCATCTGGTTGCTTCAAGAGCCAATGTTCTTAACCACTGCACTCTCTGTGACCACCAAGGGTGGATTTAGAGGGCTTGAGGGCTGTGACTGGGAGAGGCCACGGTTGTTCATCCAGACTGTGTCTGAATAAAGCATCTACCGTGTACTGAGGGTTGAAGAGACGGACTGCCCAGCTTGCTCCCTCTCTGATTCTCCCAACTGGATTTCCTTCCTCCCTTAGTGGCCACAGGTGGTTCAGCACCAGGCCCATGAATGTCTGTCTAACAAAACTGGCTTGAGGATAAAAATCTCACTCAAGTCACACAGCAGAGCAGCCCAGAGGCAGAGCTAGGACAGGGACTGCCTGCTGGGGACAAACAGGCTTTGTAACCTGGGCTGTCTTTATGCTTCTCTGAGCTTCAGGTTCTGATTTTTCGAAATGGCACTGGTAGTGCCCATCCCACATGGCTGTCATGAGGTGAGGTGCACTGATGTGTGCCAAGTGTGTCCCCACAGAGCGCTGGAAGCCTGGCCATGCCTGCTTCTGCTGTGATGGGGTCCCTGGAGCTGGATAGGTCCTGGTGTGGCCCTTTGGGATTTTCCATCTTTGGGAAGAGGCTGGAAAATGGAGTAGGGATGGTGGGATAGGTGAGACCCAGAATATACCCAAGAACTGACTAAGGATAAAGAAGACTTTGCACATACATAGCACTTCAAAGTGTGCAAAGAGCATAGCACTTGACAGTGTGCAAAAAGCTTGCTTTGCAACCCAAGCACTCATCCCCAGGGCAACTCAGGATTTTGCTGATGCTGTTGTTGTTTTGTTTGTTGTTTGAGATAATATCTTACTCTATAGCCTAGGTTGGCCTGGAACTTACTATGTAGCCCAGGCTGATCTCGAGCACGGGGTTATCCTACTGCCTTTACTTCCCAAGTGCAGGCCTGGTTTGCATATTACAGGCTGAGAAAGGGTCTCAGAGTGGGGAGCCCTGCCCAGTTTCCTGCAACCTGGACCTGAGACCAGGCTTCTCACTCTCAGGTAGAACTCTTAGGGTCAGGAAAAGGATGGTTGGTAATTGCCAAGGTTGTGGCCACAACTTCAGCGAAGCTCAAAGGGCCACTAGGACCACACTGTGTGGGCAGGATCAGCTTGCACAGGATGAGGAAGCCCAAGCAGAATGAGATGGTGCAGTTTAGGGCAGCAGAAGATGGATATCATGGAGGAAGGGTGTTTGCAAGGTGTGGAAACACCCAGGCTATCCTCCGCAGACTCTTATCCTGGCAGCACTTAACAGTGAACATCAGCATTGTCAAAGCCACCATGAGCAGAGAAGCTTCTAGGCCTGGTCTGGCTTACCATGACTTGCAGACCTTGTTTGGGACTGTGGTCTCACTCTGACCTTGGGTGGCCTTGACCTGGGATCTGGGCAGAGGCTCTAGGTCCAAACCTCTGTCTCCCAAGGGACCCCTGGACATGCTATATCTCCCAGGATGCTAAGGGATCCTTCTCCATTTCCAGGGACATTTCTGCCACCAGGCTTCGCTTTGCCAGGCGACAGCCAGAGGTAACAAGAGAGCCCAGGCCTTCACACTCCAGGTGGAGGAAGAGATAACACCCTGAGCTACAGAACCATTGAGAAAGAAGCCTGCATGGAGACAGGAGGGATGGGGAGCTGGTGGAAGACCCTCAGCCTGACTCCTGGGCCAAGGCCTAAGCCCTCGATGGCCAGACCCATCTGATGGGGTCAGCATACGCTTTGGCCTCCCTTATGGCAGCTCTGTGTCCTCACACTGTCAGGGACAGCCTTAGTGCTTGAATGGGCGAGTGGCCTCCCAGCACAGGCTGCTGACCACAGCCCTGCTTGAAGGAGCTGCGTGAGGTTGGATATGTCAACAGTGTCCTGAGGAGCATCCTATTTGCTGGACTACAATCCAGGAGCGACTCTACAGCAGGACACACACACCTAAGCCACACCTGGAGGCTGGGCTGGTCACCTGCTGGCCACCTGCATTGTCTTCCCCAGCTCTGCCTATCTGGAGGCCTTTTATCCTCGGTCTCTTGGGACACTTCTGGAGAGTAGAGCCTGCTTGGCCTTACTCATCTGTATATAACTTATTTGCTCTAAGAATTTTGAGATCCCAATTTATTTATTATAATGTATATTTTTAGAGCCTCAATTGTTTACTTATAAACTCATGTTTGTAATAAAGGATGAAATGGTCTTTTGAAATCTTTGTCTTGACCAAGTAGTGGTAGAAGGCTCTTCCCAGGAATTTGGAAGTTAAGAGGACATAGAAAGGAGATGAAAGGGCCCAAGGTGGGTAGCTGGAATCCCAGGTTCAACTTCTCTACTTGCTGTGTTTCTTTAGCTACTAACTTGCCCTCTCTAGGCTTTTGCTCATGATTTAGATAGCCATGTGTAGTTGTAACATCAGGACTCTGACACCCATGTTCCCATTAGGCCAAGAAACAATGGCCAGGCCTCCCTGGAGAGCATGCTTGGAAGAAGCTAGGCCCATGAGGATGCAGAGACCAGCTTCTGCTCCAGCTACCCTGTCTAGCCTGGGGCTGACTGTAAGCCCCACAGCAAATCTGTCCTGTGCCAGGTGGGGCCAGGTAGATATGCAGCCCTGGTGGTGGGTGATAGTGCCCAAGGCCCTGCCTCTGACTGGCCCTGCCTCTTACCCTGGGTCTAGGGATGTATGGGGGGGGGGGGCGGAGCTGATGGAATTTGATATTTCTCTGACTGATAAAACCCAAGGCTGAGAACAACAGCACCCTATCTGGGCCTAGGACAGCTTGTGGCCTGGACCACTCCTGCCAGCAGCTGCGTGGACCTCTTAGCCAGCTGAATCCCCTTGTAAGCAAGCCATGGCTGATGATGACTGGCTCATACTGGGAGTGGCAGCTGTGACCTGAGCCAGCTGTCAGGAAATATTTATGGCACAGGTAATAATCAGGTACCTGCTCTAACCCTGCCTTATTCACAAAGCCAACTCTAAGTTCCTTTCGGAAGAATAACATGTTGACATGCTTTCAGATCCCACTGTATACTGGTACACTTTGGACTTTATCCTCACAGCAACCCTGTGACACACAGACTTTTAGAGCTATCATTTGATGAGGACAGTGGTGCACCGAGAAGACCAGAGACTTCCCTTGGGTCATACAACAAGTAAATACTAGCATTAGAATTGGAACTCAGGCTCCAAAATCTATAGTATGTGTGTATATAATAGACATTTGTTGGTTGAATTCATGGATCACCACTGACTGCAGTGTGACTTTGAACGGATCTCTTTCTGAGTCTGTCTTTATTTTCATTTAGGAAACAGGAAATAATAGTTCCTATTCCCAGGGCTGGAGAAAGCAAGAAATAGTTCTGGCTCCAAGCTGAGCCCAGGGCCTATGAAGCAAGTAGCCTTGTCCAGCTACCAATGGTGCGTATGTCGTGTGTGGAATGGGGACAGGACCTACGGACCTGCAAGAAGGACAGATTGAGGCCCCCTGGGGTGGATGTGGGGATCAGAGAAAGATCTGTTATGAAAGTGGTGCTCCTGTTGCCTTCAAAGATAAGCAAGGGGCCAGCAAGATGGCACAGTGGGTAAAGGCACCAGCTGCCAAGACTGACAACCTGAGTTTGATCCCCAGGACCCACATGGTTGAAGGAAAGAATCAACTCCAGCAAGTTGCTGTATGACCTCCACATGTGCATCATGGCATGCGCATGCCCTACCTACCCCAACAAAATTAATTAATTAAAAAAATGGTGGCACATGCTTTTAATCCCAATACTCAGAAGGCAGAGGCTGGCAGATCTCTGTGAATTCAAGGCCAGCCTAGTCTACATTGTGAGTTCCAAGCCAGTCAGAGCTTCATAATGAGACCCTGTCAGAAAAGAAAAAAAAAAAATGTTTTAAAAAGAAAAAGATGAACACTCAAGTAGAAGGAAACCAGAGAGGGACTAGACACAGGCAGGGAAGGCGTAAGTGTGCCATCCCAGAAGATGGTCCTGGCCGGACATGGTGGTGTGCGCCTTTGATCCCAGGCCTCTGGAGGCAGAGGCAGGCAGATCTCTGGGAGATTAAGGCCAGCCTAGTCCGTATAGTGACTTCCAGGCAGGCTGGGACTAGGGAGACCCTGTCCAAAAAAGAACCCAAAAACAGACAAAAAAGGTGGGTCCTTCTGTGGCTAACGCAAGTAAGGGGGAGGGTAGCTGGAGATGAAGCCAAGCAGCCTCCAAGGGCAAGTCAGGAAGATGGACTTTCTCCTGTGGTCCCCTAGGAGCCAGGAGCAGGCTGTGAGTGGCAAGAAACCTGTCAGAGCCAGGCTCCAGAATGATGCTCCTCAGAGGACTAGTTGGGACTGAGAGTGAATGAGGAAACAGGTGGCAGGGAAGCAAGGTAACCACTTCCTTTTGGAAGCCCTGGGGCCTCCTGGCTGGGCAAGTCCTGCCACTTGCTACCCAGCAGCCCAGGCCAGAGTAACCCTCCACACTGTGTCTGGGCTGGCACAGGAAGCCTCCATCCCTGGCACAGCAGCCTTCCGCTCAGACTGGCCCTGCCTCTTGGAAGGCCCAGAGCAACAACCAGTGGCCAGGCCTGGAAGCCACAGAGCCAGGCTGGGTACTGGCTTGAGAGCCCCAGCCAGGGGTGCTGGAAGCTCTGGAAATGGGTAATCACTGCTCTTGGCATAGGCCCAGGACCATGGTAAGGGTTTAGAGATCAATGGCCTAGTCACAGAGTGGCAGATGCAGGCTAAGGTGACACCTAGTCTCTTGACTCCTTGATTCTAGAAAAAAGGTGCCTGGCTCCCTGTACCTCAGGAGACCCTGCCTTGGCTCTCAATCAGCCCCACCCCTCTCCACTTGAGCAGCAGAAGTCAGGGCCAAAGGGTCACATGTGCCCAGTTAGGACCCAGCAGTGGGGAACAGTGGGCTGCAGTTTGGGAGGAGAAAGTTGCAGGCTAATGCAACCCAGGAAGAACTATATTTAGGTTTTAGGAAGTTTGACCTTTGTGAAACAAACACTTCTCCTTTTTCTACCTTTTCAGTAAATACCTAATAAGTCTTTTCCAAGAGTTTTGGGTTTGTTTTTTTTTTTTTTTTACATTTATTTGGGGGGCACGTGCATACCATGGTGTGTGTGGAGGTCAGAGGACAACTTTCAAGAGTCAGTTCATACCTTCCACTATGTGGGTTCTAGAAACGGAACTCAGGTCATCAGGCCTGGCAGCAAGCACCTTTATCTGCTGAGCCATTTTGATAGCCCATTTTCCAAGAGGATTTTGAAGCAAATTTGTGGTCTGTCAGTTGGAACCCTAGGCAAAGAGAGGATAGAAATTGGGATGACCCTGGTTTCCTTGGGGTACATGCACAGGAGAAACTGAGGCAGGAAGCAGGGAGAGCTGCATGTGCGCACACAGCCTGGTACAGGCCAGGCTAAGGGGGCTGCTGATAGAAACAGCTGCTCTGGGGCTGGAGAGATGGCTCAGCGGTTAAGAGCACTGGCTGTTCTTGCAGAGAACCTGGGTTTGATTCCCAGCACCCACATGACAGCTAACAACTGTCCTAACTCCAGTTCCAGGGAACTCTGATACCCTCTTCTGACCTCCAAGGGCATTGCACAACATGGATGCACTTATTCACATGTAGTCAATATATTCATACACGTTAAAAAAATATATATATATTTAAAAAGAAACAGCTGCTTCTAGACACGCCTCACCCATGAGCCTAGGGAATTCATCCCACACATATACACACAGACACTCATACACATGCACACATCCTGTCCCCAGCCACCTTCAAAGAGTCCAGGGTCAGCTCAGATAAGCCATTTGCCTATCAAGGCAATAAATTCCTGGACCATAGCCATCCATTCATTCAGCAACAATAAATAATCAGCTCTGGGGAGACACTGGTGAGCTGCACAGACAGACTCAACCCCTGCTTTACAGGCCAAGGAGGCTGCCGGGCACTGAGATACACACGGGGCCCATTTACCGAGGCTTTCTGTGAGCTGACAGGCTCCTTTGCCTGACGCAGCAAATTCTAGATTTATTACTCCCATCTCATAAATGAGGTAAGTCGGGTGTGGTGACCTGCACCTGGGAAAGACTGAGGCAGGAGATCGTTTGGTCCTAGAAATTTGGAGCCAGCCTGGGAAGACCCTGTTTCTTTATAAAGAAGAAAAAGAAGAAAGGGGTATCGGGGGCGGGTAGCAAGGCTCCATCTCTTTGTTTTTTGTTAGTTTTTGTTTTTGAGGCAGGATCTTATGTAGCCCACACTGTCCTCAAATTTGATAGGTCCCCAGAAATGACCTTGAACTTCTGATCTGGCTTCCACATGCTTGGGTTATAGGTATGTGCCACCACAAAATGCTAGGGATGGAACCCAGGGCTTCAAGCATGCTAGGCAAGCACTATCAACTGAGCTACATCCCCAGCCCTGAGTCTCCAGCTAGGATGTGGATAAGCCAGGATTTAAGCCCTGGCTCTTAACGCTTATGCGCTCTTGCCTCTCTGGTAGCAAACAGCCACACTCAGATGAAACCCTAGGAAAGGGAGCCGAAGATGGCATCCTGGAGGAGGGAACAGGCACCAGTTAAGTGAATGAATTGGAAACGGGTATCTCAGGCAGCGAGAATAACATAGAGGAAGCCTCCCCTCTTCAAGGATGGAAGCTGTTCT